CATGGTTTGTGAGCTCAAGCCCCGCACTGGGCTCTGTGCTGACAGCTCGGAGCCTGGAGCCTGCTTCCGATTCTGTGTCTCTCTCTCTCTCTCTGCCCCTTCCCCACTCACACTCTGTCTCTCTCAAAAATAAAAATAAGCGTTAGAAAAAATTTAAAAAAAAAAAAAAAAGAAGGGATGAGATTCTGGATGTTTCGGAGGTGACTATCAGGATTTGCTGATGGATTGGGACATGACATGGGCGTTCGTTGTCTATTGCTGCACAAAAAATTACCACAAAATTAGCAGCTTGAAACAACGGCCGTGTGTCGTCTCAGTTTCCGTGTCAGTGTCCGTGCACCAGGAGTCCGGGCAGGGCTCACGTAAGCCCTGTCCTCAGGGCAGCACACACGGAAATCAAGGTGTCAGGTAGGCTGCGTTCCCATCTAGAGGCTCAACAAAGGAAGGATCCACTTTAAAGCCTCCCCGGGTTGTTGGCAGAATGACTTCCTTGCAACTGCAGAATCCACGGCAGACTGCTTCTCCAAAGGCAGCGAGAGACACAGAGTCTCTGCTATTTAAATTCTCTGACTTCAGGAAATGTCTAGGGCCTCATATAACAGGTCCATCTGACAAGATCAGGGCCACCCAGGATAATCTCCCCTTTGACTAACCTAAAGTGAACTTATTGGGGATCTTATCTTTTTACTTTTACCATATCACATAACATAATCACAGAAATTACATCCCATGCACTCTGCCATATTCTATAGCATACAAGCACATCAGAGGTACCATTCACACACAGGGGAGGAGAACGCACAGGGATATGCACACTAGGGGTGCAAAAATCACGCGGGCCACCTTAGGATATGACCCCCAGAAACTGTCAGAGAAAAAGAGGAGGCCTGGATGACTTCAGCCTTTTTGTCCAAGCAACTGGCAGAATTAAGCTTCCATTTACTAAAATAGGCAAGATAGGGTTGAAGGTTCAGCATGGGAGCGGAGAATCAAGAGTTTGCTTTCAGACATGTTTTTATTTGATATGTCTATTTGACATCCCAGTGGAGATGTCAGAGTAAGCAGGTGCAAATTGCAGGTGACATGGGGAGACTGCCTAATTGTCCAGGCAGAAACCAACATGTGGCACCTGCCTGGGTGAATTACCCATGTTGTGGCTTCCTTGCCTTCCATCTTGATAGTTCTGAAATGTGATTGGGTCAGTGCTCCACTGCTCATCAGCCTGGGTCTTCTCACTCAGAAGAGATGAACATAATAACAAGAACATATTAATTCACTCTAGCAAATGTCACCATAAAGCAGACTGGATTTTCATCTGAATACAGTGAACACTTCTCCTGAATAGGTCTTAGGCTAATCTTTGATCCAATGACTCCTTTTTTTTTTTTTTTTTTTTTTTTATGAATCCATGACTGACCACCTCCCTTACCAATGGACACATTCTTTCCATCACTCAAAAATTTTCACCACCACAAAAAAAGAAAATAAAAATTCACCACCACTACCACCATATAATTCTGAAATGTTTCCTCAGTGGGACTACTCCCTCTCGAAAACCCCTGCTTTGGTTTTTAAATGGGATGCTGCTCCAAAATGTTATACATTAATTTCACAACTATCCAAGAACAATGTTATCACCTTGTTTCCCAGTTTTTTGAGGCTCACCTAATCATTACCACATACTGCCCAATACCTAATGAGATATGCATAATTTCCAAATTTACTGATGAAAATTGAAGCTCAAAGAGGTTGAATGACTTCTCTACATCCTACATCTAGAAAGGATCAGGAAAATTCACACTCAGTTCTAGAAAACCCCAAAGGTCACATTCTTTCTTAAACATATGCATTTTAAAAAGTGTGTGCTGTGGGGGCGGGGGGGGGGCGGGGGAGGTGGAGGAGAGGAGTAAGCTACAGAAAATTGGAGATGTCTTCCTTCCTGTGTGGGGCAATTAGAAGTTAGGTGAATAGTCCTACAGAACAATTGTCTGTCATTCTCCCAACATAGTTTCAATAAGCAGAATAAGCAGATTAATACATCTTCAAATCCCTATTTCCTCCTAAAATCACTATTGATCCTTCAATATCTAAGTGCAAATGACTCTTTAGTGAACTCCCCAGACAAAATCAATAGCTCTCTCATAATGTTCAAAATATGCATCTATTTTGGGACCTCCCATATTTATTACAATTATTTCCCTTTCTGGCCGTCTCCCCCTCTAGTCTAGGAGTGCCTTAAAGGTAGATGTTGTGTCTCGATCAGGTTTACACCTTCAGCACTGAACGCAGTTCACCTGAGCCTAAAGGATGCTCAGAAACTGTTGAATGAAGGAATAAACAAATGAACAAATGAATGAGCAAATGAACAAATAAATGTTTTATGGCCCATCACTATCACTATTATTGCAATAACATAACACATAGGGCAGTATGGTCCAATATAGAAGTCTCTACTGTTTGCTATTTGCTAAAGCCAACAAGACACAAGTTAAATTGTAGATTCTGATTTTACAGCTTGAAACGTGTAACTTTAAATGACAAATGAAAATAGCTCTTATAACAACGGCTCTTATTTATGGAGTATATATTCACTCTGTGCCAAAAACTGTGTTATACTTTTTTACCTACATCATCAGTTTTGATCCTGACAAAAGGAGTGGGTATTCCTATCCCTATTTCCATATGCAGTAACTGATACTTAAACTATCCTGCAAAATTCACACCTTTAGCATTTTTACCGAGCCACGATTTAAACCCAGTCTGTCTAACTCTAAAGTTCACGCTTTTCACCACGATTTTATAGTACCCTTACAAATGTTGCTAAATAAATCGAGTTCTGTAGTAATTCAATGTGGAAGAAAAAATAAAACAGATCCCAAAGTCTACTGTTTTGCTTTAGTTTCTATGACTATTCGTTCGGTGCTCCAGGGTGTGTATACCTTCAATAGCTATTTTATTGGGGCACATCTAGAGGGACTCTGGAGAATCTCCTTTATTACTACGCCATCTCAGTTTGGCGCTGGTTTGCAGTTTGTCTGATGAAGCTGTTTCATCCGAGATTTCTTTGCATTTAATGTGCGTGTGTGTTTTCCACTGTGTCCAACCATTCTGGTAGTAGCATATGGTTACTTTTGTTAATTGGGCTTTTTGTTATGCTGTGTCTGCAAAGCTTCTTTTAATTTATATTCAAATGTTTGTCATCCTCTGGCAGTCTGTTTTGTGATGTCTGTGTTTGTTTTGTGACCCAGGACTATAGCATGTTTTCAAGCTGTGTTCTGGCACATTATCTGAAGATGCCCACCATGTGCTGGCTCCACACTGCAGTATCATTCCTGCCCTGTTTCTTTAACAAGCCAGCACAGTTTGCCCTTGCAGAGAGTGGGGGGAGGGGGAGGGGGAGGGGGTCACTGTTTCAGCCCGTTCTAGGTGGCTACCTTGTTAAGAATGATATAGATGAGACAAGAGTTGGCTTGCCTATCAAATACAGAACGCTAGATAGTTCGTGTGGCATCAAACATTCCTAAAAGCCTATCCTTTGCCAGGCACTGTCCACGGGCCAGGCTCAGGAGATTCAGTAAAAGGTAAAGTAGGGAAGCTGAGAATGGTACTGATCCCAGACTCTTGAGAACCTAACTGCCTGGGTTCAAATCCCAGTGCCACTACTCACCTGCTGTGTGACCTTGGACAAGATGCTTTAGTTCTCTGTGCCTGAGTTCTACCTATATAATGTGGAGAACTATATAATATCAATCTCATAAAATTGGTGGAAGTGTTAATGAGCTAATATCTACAAAGCGCTTAGAATAATGCCTAGGACACAGTAACATTCAGTAAATATTAGCTATTATTATTATCATTATTTTATATAATTTCTAATAAACATAGAGATCTCGTTAGTGCAAGAGGCACTGCAAAGCAGAAATTAAAAGCCCAAAAGGGTCTAGTCAATATTTCTCAAACTACACTCGGCAGAAAATTAATAAATTTAAAGAAGGCTTCCGTGGTTAATATGTATAGGAAATGCTGAGTTAAACAGATGCCGGTGAGCATCAGAGTCTGTGTTATGCGGATGTGGGTTGCAACCATTCAAGAGGAAAGAAAACATGCAACTCCCAAGCTTTTTAAATATAGGACCTTCATCTAGACATGGGGTCTAGATGAAGGGACTTGTCTAGTCCATTAATCTGGTATTAAGGGACCAGTTTCCATAGCAAAATCTTTGGGAAGTTCTGATCTGAGGAAACTTGTGAACGGTCACAACTAGCAATTAGAGGGAAGTTAAAGTTCAGGAGAGTAACCTTGTTCCTGACTGTTGACGACCAAATTCTTGGAGATTGAAGTGTGAAAGCGCCGTTATGTGAGACCACGTACACAGGTACGTGTGCACACATCCACAGAACCTGCCCCCCAAACAACCAAACCTTGGCGTCACCATCCGAGTGACGTTTTGGTGCGCCATCTTTTATGGAATGGTGTTTCTCAAAGGAGAAGCCAAAGAGCCTCCAAATCCCCAGCATGGAAAAGAGGTGAACTGCGGCTGGAAATCTGCTGACGGCGGAGTCATGTGACGTTGTGGAGATAGAGAACTCCGTCTCGTGTTTTGCTTCTGGTAGAAAATGTAAAAAAGAGATCTTGATTTGCTTGTTTGTGCTATAATTTGTCACATGCGTTTCTAATCGCAAAAGGGTTGGGGAAGACAGAGGGTAAAGAGGACCCCCCAAAGGGCGGGATGGCAGTACCCAGAAAGCCGTCGTGTTGGGGCCGCTTCGCTGTACAGAAGCACTTCCTCTCAGCTAAGGAACACTTCCATTTGACTTAAGAAACGTTTTGATGGAAATATTTGACCAGTTGTAACGTAACTACCACTCCTCTGCACACTTTCCACATTGTGCTAGATGCTGGGAGGGAAATGATGGGCCACACACAAGAGTCTCCTCCTGTCCTCATGGCTAATCACGCACTTGTAATTCACAGCGAGGTAGCTATGGAGCAAGGTGGTTCAGGAGCTGTGAAGACATGAGTCACTTGAAACTCAAGTCGGCTGGGGAAGAGGTGGGGTACGTCCGGGGGAAGCGGGAGCTGAGCCGAGAACTGGAGTGAGCAGGACGCAGCAAGATGATAAAGCGTGGGAGGAAGAGAAGAATGTGACAACACAGAAAAGCCCGAGGGCAAGAGAAAGAAGAACAGGGCTGGGAAGCAGAAATCGGGTTACTGTGGTTGCAACGCAGAGTCCAAAGGGGCAGAGCGGTGAGGGATGAGAGGGAGAGGTGAGCCGGGGGCAGACAAATGATTTCACAAGTCAGGTTACAGGGCTGCAATTGCTCCTGAGGATTACAGGCAGCTACTGAACTCTTTAGAACTCTGTTCTAAACAGAGCAGGGACATGATCAATTTGCTCTTCAGACAGATAACCCCTATGAGGAAAATCGGTTTGGTTGGGAACAACACGGGTGGCCAGAAGAGTTGGTGTCTGTAGAGGAGGCAAGAAATAACAACGGGTGGAGAGATGTGAGAGACGGAGGAGGTAAAGTGTGTGACTGGTGGCATATGGGAGATGAAGGAGAAGAGGGTTCAGGATGACTCACAGTCGCTTAGATGTGGGTGCCACTCATTGGTTGGGGAGAGAGAAACAGAACAGGGTGAAGACAATTAATTGAACTTGAGATACGTGGGATCTGAGATGCCCGGTCAGCTGTCTACATGATGTCAAATGGGCCAGTGGATATGTGGATCTGGGTGTCAGTTGTGAGTCATCCATGCTGGAGATGGTCTCAGTTGATGCCCTCATGGGGTGAGATGATGCTTAGGGAGAGGGTACTGAGAGAGGACCTCTAGGGTTATTCCTGGAGAGACAACCAGAGACAAAGAACCCCCGGGGAGACTCAGAAGTCATGGGAAGAACGGGGAAAGGAAAATCAACCAGATAAATAGAGGCAGGCATCATGTTGTGTGATGCTAAGAAACGAGAAAGCTGAAGCCTGAGAAGCATCCTTTAAATGCAGCACCACTATTCCTGTTTTCGGAAACCAGGAGCAACACAAGGTGAGTGGGCTTGGCGGGGGGGGGGGGGGGGCGGTAAAGATGAGGAAGCAGGACGAAGATGTGCTCTCAGGGTCTGGCCATGAACAAGGGGACTGAGGTGATTGGGGGCTGAGATAGATGCAGGTTATGGAAGGAGGTTTTCTCTTGTTACCATGTTCATTTAAAAAGAGGAAAGACTTGGGTGTTTAAATTCTGATGAGAAGGAGCCAGTAGATAGAAAAGAATTTTCTGGAACAATACATTGAGTAAGGTCTCTGAAGAGACAAAAAGGGATGGGATCCTGAACTCATTGGTCGTTGGTTTTGTATTCATGCATCCCGGCCGCCCCCCCCCCCCCCCCCACAATTCACAGGTACACATCTATCGTATTGCCTCTTTGTGGGCCTTTTCAACCTCCTTTGCGATAGCTGTGTATAATGAATTTCATGCAGGCAGGAACTATGTCTATCTTACTCAGCACCGTATCCATCACATCCATAGTAGCTGCTCAGTACACATGTAGTTAAATATAGCAGGTGATTCTTAGTATCTTTATAATGAAAATTTTAGGAGAGAAGACTTGGCATAAGGGCTAGAGGCCATAGCATGTTATTTCAAGGCCTCCAAGTGTCTCGTACTTAGCAGTAGATCAATAACATCCTTTTCTAACTCAAACCTTAAGACCCTCTCAAGAGGCAGCATGGTTTAGTTTAATGTCCAGTCTGCTGCCTTTGGACCCAGCAGGCCTGGGTTATTCGACCACTTATTAGTAGTGATGGGCCTCAGGCACATTGTTCTACATATCTTAACCTCAGATTCTTGATCAGCACAAGTCAGGGGGAAGACAGGCCTGAGGGAGAGGAGACAGGAGCTAGAGCAACCCCACAGAACATCAGAACCTTCCACAGGTTGTTAGGGAGCAGATATTCAGAAACAAAGTTTCTCAGGATTCAGTCGAGAAAAATCTAACAGAGCTCTGCCAGATAGATATTTTCACAAACTTGCTTTGTTCATAACTAAGAATGACGTTTTATATCATCACTGAGATGGTACATAAGATGTTTCTCATAAGCTCTGGTAGTTAAGCTTCTGGTAGACTCTCTGTATCCATCTGTGGTAGACTGATGTTTTCCCAGCCCAGCTGAAATACCACACAGCTTGCAAGTAACAGAGCTAGGACTCAAGTCTAGATCCAACGTGAAAACTAGATCTCACATCCCTCCCACAAACCTATTAGGAAGATATGGAGAGCCCATGGAACAAAGGGCAAGATACTGAAGAGGCACTTGACCAAAAAAAACCAAAAAACATCCAATAGGTAACAAATGTGTGTGCTGATGCTCAACATCATTGATCATCAGGCAAATGCAAAGTAAATCCACAAGCAGAGACTTCCAAACCCTGGAAGAAGCACTAAAACAGGAGTTGCTGGATTAGCTAGGCGTCTCATCCATAGAACACGGGAGTCCCTATGGAGTTACTCTTCAGTTTACCTGAGGCTGTATCTTGGAACACAAAGATCTGAATGAGCTGGAGTTGAAGGAATTTGCATGTGGTCTATGGTGGAGCTGATAACTTGCCTTGGTATGGTTTGGTCCGATTTATCTATATTTGCAAGGTATAGTGCAAGCCCTGTTGAAAATCTGATTTTTCTGTTTCGGTTCTCATTATTCTCTTCACAGTCTAGCTGCCAGGAGGGCACATTTTATCTTTATTGCCATATATCTATACACTATATATTAATTTGAATTTTTTAATGTTTATTTTTATTTGTGAAAGAGAGTGTGAGCAAGGGAGGGGCAGAGAAAGAGGGAGACATAGAACCTGAAGCAGGCTCCAGGCTCTGAGCTGTTAGCACAGAGCCTGGTGTGGGGCTCAAACTCACGAACCGAGAGATCATGACCTGAGCCGAAGTCAGACACTTAACCAACTGAGCCACCCAGGAGCCCCTATGCTGTGTATTAATATTTGCATGTATATTCACTGAATTGTACACTTATGACACATGCACTCTGTTGACCTATGTCGTACTTCAATATAAAGTCATGAAAAATAAAAAGCCATGAATTTCTCAATCCTACTCTGCCACTCTTCATCTTCCCTGATTTCTCCCCACTGCATTGCTCTACCTTTTAGCCCTGTGAACTGGTGGACACCTTGGCTTCTACTTAAGCCCTCCTCCAAAATGTGGCTGCTCTGAGTCTACACATCTCCCCTGAGAAAGCAGGTCCCCTGTCCTCTCCTACACCTACCTTCCCCCTTCCCATGGGAAACCCCTTTGGCTATGTGGGACTTTCCCACAACCCCTTACTGTGGCTCATTTTAGATTGGCAGTCTACATATTGGGTTCATTTTCCTCTCATATTCTGTATTTCAAAATGATACTGATATGAGGTTGCACTGTTTATTGTAGAAACTTTCCATTTTTTTTTTCTACATGATATTTCAGAATGGGCTTTTTACTACATGGGGGAGAAAAGAATAAAAAGCTTTTTTTAACCAGAACTAACCAACTAACTAACTTCCTTCCTTCCTCCCTCCCTTCTTTCCTTCCTTCCTTCCTCCTTCCTTCCTCCCTCCCTTCCTTCCTTCCTTCCTTCCTTCCTTCCTTCCTTCCTTCCTTCCTTCCTAAATGTACATACCCTGAAATAACATCTTGATCTGAACAGAGGAAAGTTCTTATAACTTATCTAGAAGTGGTTATGAAGCTAGTATGAGAAGCCCCCATGATTATTTTTAAGATTGCTCTGCTGACACCTACTGGACAGAATCTCTTACCAAACACACAACACAAGTAAAGCAACAAAGATTCCTTATTCTAATTGTGATACATGAACTATTTTTTTCAAAGAATAAAATGGATGAGATTAATTAATTTTTAAACTTTTGTGTGAGTCCAAATTAATTTTCTTTATTCCTTTCTTTCCTTTTTTTCTTTCTTTCCTTTCTTTCTTTGGGAAGAGAATATATAAAGGTCAAACATTTCCAGTTTTTCAGCTTGGAAAAAAAAAAGTACCACTTTTCTTTAATACAATAGTGAATTGAGAAAATCTTTTTATACTTAACAAGCTGTATCTAAATTGTCATATTCCTGCTGGTAGATCTCCCAGCTTAACAAAAATGGATGAGATGAAAACATATTTTGTAAATTAATCAGCTGGTTTCCAATGAGAAGTTAATGTGCTCTCCTCAGCCATTTAAAAGGCCCTTTTAATCCCAAACAAGCACTTATGACCATTGGGAATTCCAAACCAAACAAGACTGTTATTTAACAGTTAACTAGAGGTAATAAAGCTATACTTCTTAAAGCTATAATTTTAAAGACTTTGATAAATGCATAGCCACAATGCAATTTAAAATGTACTTAATTTAAACATTTAATTTTTTAGCTGTAGGGGGAGGGTCCAGGAACCAGATTGACAAGAAATGTCAGAGTTGTGCCTAGAACTCAGAACCTGAATCCCAGGCCAGTGCATCACGCAGTGTCTACTGTATCACTGGACCTTAATTGTGAACTTACGGTTTATCCTATGACAGCGACGATTCGCATTATATTATGGATTAACAACATTCCTTACTTCAACTCATTGGTTTATTAGATGCTAACAATGGAGCATATCATCTGGTGACAAATTTGGGGAAAAATGTATTAGTATTTATTGAGGCATAGTCAATAACCATAAATTTAGCAGCTTAAGACAACACCTACTTATTGTCTATAGTTTCTGTAGATCATTTCTGAGGTCAGGAGTCAAAGCATGACTTAGCTGGGTCCTCTGACTCAGGGTCTCACGAGGCTAAAATCAAGATGTTGGCTGGGGCTGTAGCCTCATCAGAGGTTCAACTGGGGAAGGATCTGCTTCTACTCCCTCTCAGGCTATTAGTGGAGTTCACTTCCTTGTAGCTGAAGGACCAAGGGCCTAATTTTCTTGTTTTATAGGACAGACTCTTGCTCTCAACTACAGATGACTTCCTGGAGTTCCTTGTCATGTGGGTTTCCCTAACATAGTAGCTCACTCCATGGCAGCTTGTTTCTTCAGAGCCAGCAACAGTCTGCAAGATAGTGCTACAGTTTTATGTAACACCACCACAGAATCATGTACATGTAATTGCAAACATCTTGTCTCCTTTGCCACATTCTATTGGTTGGAATCAAGTAATGAGTCCTACCCACACATGAGAGGACACCAGGAGGCAAGGATATTGGGGACTACCCTAGAATCTTTCCCCCACAAAAGAGATATAAAAATACCAAACTCACATTCAGATCCAACTTGCATTTAAAAATAGAAAAGCACCCACATGTATAATTTTGTCTTGAAAATGTGAGTGTGTGTATACTTAATTTAACAGAAAACAATACTTAAGTGCTGCTGGTATCCTTCCACAAATGAAACACCTCCTGTGAAGGGGCCTAGAGTAATGGAACCTGTAGCCAGTAACCATCAAAAACCACAGGTATATTCCTATCCCTCAAATGGGGGTGTGAATGCTCTTCAGGGAGAGATAATAGATGTGGCAAAAGAAAGCTTATTTCGAAACAGCTAAAAAATAGGCAAAAGACAAAAAAGAACAAAATAAATCCATTTGCATGAGCCCTATAGACACATGACTGTTTTGAGTTTTAAAACTAATTATTTCATGGAAAGTACAGCCAAATACTTATTGCTGATAGTATACCACATTTTTTAACACCTATTTCAATTTTCTTGATTGCATTTTAAAATAAGATACGTTCGAGAAGCTTCTACCATGCACCAGGCAGTTACAGTTTTGTCAACTTATTTGTCCTCCATTAAATCTTGGAATTCGTGGACTTAGATTTGAGTAGCACCACAGATAGCACTAGAACAGATGCAGGGAATGTTTTATTAACGCATATAAGCAAAGTGAAGTTGTCTCCTATATTGATAGAGTTTAGCTATGGCAATATGCAAAAGCAATTTTGCAGGCTCTAAAGATGAGTTACAACTAATTAAGCATTGACTCAGCCAGGTTAGCAAACTGCCAGATTGATAATG